GTCAACTGTTTTCTTCTCTTTGTTCTAGATGTTGTAGTTCGGTTTATGGATTAGATGACTTCCTCTGTTCGAGAACAGTCCATAACCTCTTGTTATTGACTGATTTTCGGAATCGGATGAGTATTGATTGCCGTTGACCATTTTCATTTTGCTTTTCTGCTTTCTCCCAATGCTTTTCCTTTTTCAATTCTTTTCGCAACTTTTCATTTTCCATGTTCGAACTTTCTTAATCTTCCTGATTTTTCTGAATTTATCAAGGAAATTCATTTTGAGCAATCTGCTATCCCTTCTTTCCTCTAGCTCCTTCAGAAACCGTCTGTGTATGATGAGAAGGTTGCTTACTGGTTCGCGTATCCATTCATTCAGTTTTCATCTTCCTTATTTTTCTTATGACCATTCTTGCCTGTTCTCATTTGCTGTATTCATACGATTCTGACAGCCTAGAAGCTACAAAAATGAACAACCCTCGCACGCAGAACAAGATGGCAAGAAGAAAAATAAGAAAAGAGGAGGCTATTAACTTGGAACTATTTTCGAATAGGATTATGACCACTGGATAGTTTTTTCTTTCGTTTTTCTCATGTGAAGTTCATATTTGAGGTGTGACCATAGGTTGTTCACGAAAAGCACCAAATATCGAATTTACACTGCGAGTAAGTAGAACGTAGAGCTCTGTTTCTTTGTGTAATGTTTTCAGCGATTACACCGAAATGGTGCAAAAATCGCATGAACAATCGTATGTTGCAAACGAATACAAATGATTATTTTCGTTTTTACATGAACGCTCAAATAATTTTGAAAAGCTCCCTCTTCTATCACCCGCTCCACTAAGTAGACGGGTTACACATACCTCAGATGTCTCTCTATGTTATAATCATGTTCTGTTCATCCCTTATTGGGTTCTTCATCATCTTCTTCTCATTCTATCTACTCATCTTTGTTCCAACCAAGCTGGACAACTTTACTCGCTTTGTGATTCATGGGCGTGATTTGACGTGAGTTCCCAATTTCAATCTTTCATCATCATTTACGAAGATCTGCCTTAATGCAGCTCTATCTTACACTGGGAACAACACCGACTCTTCTGTTCCCATGTAGATCTGGATACTTTAACGGCTCTCTCTCCGCTTTCCGAATGCTTGCACTGAATCAAGTCTGGACTCAAATAGCATTGATCGCTAGTACTCAACTGAGGAAGTTTTATATGAGACTCGTTCATTTCAGTCAGCGGATCGTTTTCTCTTCTTCTCAGTGTTAATCGAGCGTTCGCAACAAGTATTAGAATGAAGCAAAACAAAAATTTTATTATAATCTCATTCTTCACTCAGCTGGTTGGCCAAATCATTTTTTTACTTTTTGCTGGTTTAAGCTTGAAAGACGGTGGAAAAGAAGCACGGCAGAGTTGTCTCGCGGTTTGGATATTTCTGATTCGTTGAAACATTTCTTTCAGATAATACCATATACATATCCTAAAGTGATGTATACCTCACGAGGATTTGATCTATCGACCCAAGATAGTAGCGTTGTGATGATCTTTTCATATACAGCACTGTTCACTGTAATTTACGCAATAGTTGATACAATGTGTGCCTCTGCTCTAATTCGGACCATCAGAGAGCAAGCGAAGTCATCACAGTCGACTCAGTTCTTAGCTAATCAACGTAGAATGACTTCTGGAATACTTTACTTCGTAAGGTTCGGAGCTTGTGTGAAAACCAACATAGTTCAGATCATTGTCGAGATAGTTGGTTTGGGTTTTCCTATTTTGATTATCAGTGGATGTCTTGTCTTCAATGTGGGAAACACAGGTATGGGCTTTCTTCGGCACTATCTTAGCAATTCGACTCTCTCAGCTATTTCCAATTATGCTTTCATGTCCCTTAGTTTCTATCATATACTCGCTTCATACTATGTTCTCATGTCCAACACGGATTATAGGAACCGAGTCAAAGGCATACTCAAAAAAGGTTGGTTCTCAAAGCTCATTCTGCTTAAGTGTACTTCTAGTTGTAGCCGAATCAAATTGATATGACATCTTTCAGTACAGGAACTAGGAACTGGTCACCTAAGCATTTGAAAAATCTTTACATCTGCAATAATCATTCATGCTGTCAATTTGTAATTTCCACATGCTCTTCGACCGCATGCGTGCAGCATTTACATTTGAAGCTCTTTTTACGAACTCGGGAGTAAAGCTCACAGGCTCTCTTTGCCAAGTGATGAACTGAAAGGAAAACTGAAGTCAGGATCTTCAGGGCTTGTATACTTCCACAAAAACACGTTACCCGGAATAAATTTTTAAGCAAGAAAAATGACCCAGTCATTCTCTTTCCTCACAACGATGTAATTTAGCTTGAAGTTGGTGAAATCGGATGTTCCTTGGGTTGTTTTAAATAAGAATTGAGTTTTAAACTTGAATAAGATGTTCGTTTTTTGGTTTGATAATGAAACTTCATCGAAAACTGGTTGGATTCCCTTTGAAATATCGCTGATAGCCCACTCAACATCTGCTCTGTTGCGAATTTGTTTCGCGAAATAATAAACGAATAAAACGAAAACGCCTTTTCTTGTTTATTATTTTGTAGTTTTGAAGCTCCCAGTCCTCTGAAATCCTCTCTTCATGAAAATGCTTGACTATGCTTGTCCTCTTGGGTCCTTCTTGATCAGATCAGATCAGATACCTCAACAGCCTTCCGAGATCTCCTCAAAATCGTTTTTGTTGTTCAGTATCACCATCAATATTCTTTGCAGTTGGTTGTTGTAGTTTCGGACGAGCTGTCTCTCTTCTGTTCTCTGATTTTCAGCCCTTCACCTGTACCTTTCGCAGTTGTTTTTCCCTTCTATCCCCAGTTGATCCTCTTTCTCAATCTTTTCGTTCATAGATTTTCGTTCCAACTACTCAGGTTTAGATTTTTGTGTTGTATTACCATTCTCTCTCTTTCCTGTTGATTTGCCGTTTCTCCGTATTCGGTTGTTCGAGGTAGTTTCTTAGGTTGAACCTCATCTCTTGTTAACTAGTGGTATCATTTCATAGTGAATTCGAGCTTCCAACGTTTGTGATGGCTCCGACAGTCTCGTTGTTTCTCACTTTCTAATTATTTCCTTGCTCCGTCGTATACTTCTCACCAATCCTTTGCTCGTCAGTTGTTATTCCTTCTTCTCCTTTTCCCTTCTTTTCTCGTGGAGTTCGTGTTCTTATTCGTTTGTTCTTGGAATTCCATTATAAAGAAACGATAAAACTGTTTATAGGCATATATTGCTTCTTTCTCGCAGTTTTACGAATAATAGTTGTCAAAGTTGCGTAATACGGAAATTCAATTTTTTTGAATTTTAATTGGTCTTGAAGCGATCCGTGAACTTGCATCGTGCAAGTCGTACGATGTACGGCGCATTAAGTACATGCGACCTTTGAAAGTACACGCTATTTTCGAGACACTCATCTGTCTCCAACGTGTGGTTACTTATAACCACGTTCGCTCTATGTAGGGCATTTTTGGTATGCGGACGGTTCCCATTCAAGATGGAACTCGCTATGTCTCTTAACGAGACTGTCCGTACGCCATCATGGATTTTTGCTCAATTTGTTCCCTTGTGGGAGCTTAATCTATGTCGGTTTAAAACGCAATTCTTTGAATATTTCTACAATATTTTTTCTTGAAATTTGCTATTTTTTCGAGAAAAAAAGGTTTTTCATTGTGTTTCCGCTGACACGGGACGTTGATAAACCATTCGCTAGCATGTACCAACCAACAGTTTCACTTTTTTTG